TTTAAAGGATTTTCAGTACTTTCTGAAATTGTCACAGCAGTATATTTTTCGATGAATCTTAATAAAAGTTCCATATAATTTTCACCAATATAATTAGAGCGTCTGATTTATGGAGGTACAAAAATGCATTAAAATGTGCTTATCCAGTTATGCTTCAAATATGAAAGAAAAAAGGTTTAAGTAACTTTCACTATTTCACAGTATTCTATTTTCAGATATTTCGAAAAACAGATGCACCTTAGCCATTTCCCATCACAGATGCACAGATTTTTAAAACAGAGAAGATGATAGTGTTTTAAAAACTCCTATATACTGCGTATTGTGAAAGAATCGTTTTCGTGCTCTTTTAATTGGATGTTTAACACAAAGGGTTGGAGGTCTCTCCAGAGCCGATTTCATGATAATCAAGCTACGTTTGTTCTTAGAGCTTAATTTCATCGGCCAACAAACTAAAACAAAAAGCATAAGAACTAAGCACAAACTATAACTAGGTAACTTCAGTTTGACCTTTTATTCATAAAGTGAGGGTTAAACGATGTATGTAAAAGTGTTTTCAAATTTTGTACATAAAAGCTAAGTTCATGTATGTTACTGTAGATAAATTTAAGTACATTAATCTTTGCCCATCTAAACAACGTAAGTACGATAGTCACTCAAAATCCTCAATAGTGTTTCAAGCAAAATTTTTTAAAGTATGTAGTGAAACTTGTTATGAATATCTCGCAAAAACTAAAAAAGAATAATCAATTACATGTAAAAAATGTACATGTAATTAATAACTTATATCTGAAACATGGAACTTTTTCTTCTATTTTTTTTATTTATAAATTTAAAAGTATTTCTTAATTTTGTAAATGAGATAATCAGAGATAATGCTACATAGAAAGTGACATGACTTCAAAAAAGCGTTCTTTATTGCCTTTTTAATCAGAGATGTACTCAGAAATGTCTTAATCCTAAATGTTGTAAGTGTAGTGTATCAAGGTGAAAGGTATTAGGATAAACGATTTATCGAAATGACTTTCACCTTGATTCCTATGTTGAGCAATACAATTAACAGTCGTATAATCTTTGAAATTACTATCTTTTCATTTTCACACTTAAAGAATGTGTTGATAAACAAGAAATACCTTTCGAATACAATTACATAATGAAATGAAACAAGTAAAAGTCAGAAAACTTGTACAAAATGTCATGCTTCTTTGGCGGCACGAGACTTACTCAAGTATCTTTGCTTAAGTGCCGCTTCAATGACCTGTTACGCTTCGAGTACTTGTGAGTTGTCATAAAGAAAACTTATAAACATTTTGCCCTTCGGAATTCGTTGAATTTTACCGCCGCTTCTGATCATAAATTTTTCTACTCTTCTTTTGTTGCATTGTCTCCCGGTGTAAGCATTTTTAATGATGAAATATCATCACCATCCGTGTACAATAAACTACATGGCTACACTGCGTTGACTGGCAGAATTTTTGTTGAGACCTACTGATCACATACATCTCTGTGGTTCTAAAATGTGCAGAATTTTTATTGCCATTACTTAGAAACCGTTTATTCTAAACTCAAAATAGTCATGGTAACTCTGATTGAATTCTTCCGCTGTAGTAAATATAACATCCATTTAATAAATTTTCTTTATTTCGTTTTACATTTTAAAGAAATAATAAACTCATAAACGCGGAATAAGTAGATCCAGTGTAGCTTGTACCGGCCTGAAATATCTCCCAGCAGGTACTCAGCTATTTTCACATTAATAAATGAGAATCAGCATAAGCATCGAGAAAAGCGTACTCAGCATAATACTCAGCGCACTCAGATTTCAGTATCGAGGAAAAAGCTCGAGGTTTCAGTTATCGAGATTTCAACATCAGAACAGCTAATACGTTTAACACTGTGTTAAGACATATTAGACTGTTTTCACTTTATGATGGTGAAAAGTTCAAATATTTCATTCATTTAGCGAAATTTACAAAAAGAATACAAACTGTATCTGAAATATTACAGCCTAAAATGAAACCACAAAATCACCGTGTTATGTATTAATTCAAACACAAACAAAAAAAGTTTGAAACTGTAATCGAAACGTTTCATCCCCATAGGTTTATTATAAGGAGGAGCTTAGGCCAGTTTATTTAAATATGATAAAGTACACACAGGGTATGTGCTTAGAGGGGTGAAATGCCATCCTAAGGGATTTTTTAAGGGAAACTGACTCTTACACTCGTTACACATGGAGAAAACCATGAAAAATAACAATGCACCCAGCCCATTCTCCTAAGATCGAACCCGGGTAGCACTCTCATTATTTAGTGATCTTAACCATTAAGCTACTGGTGGGTCTATAGCAAGTACTCAACCTCTTTGTGTTATAATGTAAAAAGTGGAAATAATAGCACTATAGATCTTCACAACTAGGGGATTGTAACAAAACACAAACTTGGTAATCCTGAACCAGCATTTGTTTAACAAAGCAGAAGACCAACTTTAGGTTGTTGCTTTGCTAATTTTATGTCAGTAACTGGTTTTAGTGAATTATGGCAAATCACCCGAGAACTTCTGTGCCTAAATTGAGGAATGCCTTAATGAAAGACTTATCAACGGAAACTGGTTCATATTCATGTTACACGCGGAGTAAACCATAAAAAATGCCCATGTAAATAACCTATTACACACAGGCACTGGTGGACGAACCATTAATTGAATGCAAAATATAGATTTTCCCCTTCTGTTAAATACATTTTACTTAATATTTTTAAAAATAAAAAAGGTTCATTAAGATAAGAAGCATTAAAAAAAGGTTCACTAAGATAAGAAGCATTAAAAAAAGGTTCACTGAGACAAGAAGCAGCTAGTTCATTCTTCATTCTAAACATCTTCTCCATCGTAGTTTATGATCTTAATACTAAGCTCAATACTTCAAAATTTGGCTTTGGTGTTAATTTGCTTAAAGCAAACCGTTATGATAATGCTACTTACTAAAAATTACCATGAAATTTCGCATATTCTTTTCCCTTTTAAGTCATCGCATTTCTGCATGTCGTAAATAATTAAAAAGTACACGTTTCTCTCTGTATCACTCATTCAGTAACAGTTTAAATATCTAGCTTTTATTGACTAATTTCCTATGCAGTTTTTCCCCTAATGGCAGATTACAAAGAAAACTGTCAATATAACAAGCAAGAGATGAAAGTGAACAGCAAAACTAATAGAGTCCGCAGTATAATATATAAATCTATTTCCTATAAAGTGCAAAAATCAGAAAATAGGAGAGGCTTTTTTTCAAATAAAGTACTTAATCTAATGGACACCAAGAAAGCTTAGGCAGTTTAAAGTATCTCTCCAGGCCCTGATCTGTTTATATATCCATCACCATTCAGAGCTCATTCTCTCAATTTAATTTTCATCCCCAAATACACCACAAAAAAATAGGTATGTTGAGCATGAAGCCATGTTTTCACTAATGTTTTAAGTTCGAATAATGAGCTGAATTGCTTGCCCCTAAGATGTCTCTTCAGATCATCATAGGGGGAACAGAAAGTACTAAGTCGAGATTTTACGCTGGATGAGGCATGGTTATCTATCAGTGGTCAGCATAAGATGCGCAATCTGAGATCTGCTTTCATCGTGGTGTATTGCAACTTTTCTTTAATTTCTTTTCGTTTTTCACCATTTTATTCAGTTTTTCCAATGTTGTCCAATGTGTTAAAATAAGATTTCTTGTTTACGTGCACACCTTCTTCCAGGTAATCAATGAAAACTATACTGTTTTGGTCCCAAAACTCAGACACCATGATTTTTTTTTTTTAACTTCATTTGGAAAACCAAGATTTTTTAACTGAAGGGGATTGCCTGTGATATGAATACAGTGTTTATAGTTAAAGTACAATAGTTCATACGGAGGAAAGTTAATTTCAAAGAAGTGTTTTTAGTTAAAGTACAATAGTTCATACGGATGAAAATTCATTTAAAAGAATTGATAAATATAGCAGATGTGTCTCAGCGGACAGGATTTGCGTATCTGCTTTTGTATTTTTGCAAGCATTGCACAACATGCCGAAAGTTATCAACTGTAGATATAATATGTTCTGAAGCATGAAGAATAATTAATCGATCTCAAGAATGACTCAGTAGATAAACAACTGAAGCCTGGAAATTCGCCCAGCGTCCATTTTCTGGAACTGGCTGTGTGCATGGAGTTTTGGTAAATGTCTCCATGAGTAACGGTGAATAATGAATATTCCCCATAAGAAATCCTTCCCGAAGGCGTCCGATCTAAGACCTTCGTATGTTTCACCACGTAATCAGTTAAGGAAGCCAATTAATATTAAAAATTGAATGACTCAATACGTCTTTTTTGAATTAAAATCTGTTTTAATCTGTATTAAAAGAGATAATTAAGTACAAGATAACAGGACACTACTGAGGCAAAAGGCTATATTTCTCAACAATGTATTCTCTTGAAGTAAAACATTTTTCCATTTGCGAATGCCAGATTTGAATTTTGGCCTTTCTAACAATCTCGAAATTCCCACTCTGCATTTAAAATGGATTTGGTATGTTGCAAGAATATTCTCATGTTCTCTTATTTCATTTTTATTTTGTTCAAGGCAAACACAAAGTCGAATGTCTTACACATTCTAAAAATCCTTGCTGAGGGTTACATTCCACATCTTCAGGAGTGCACAGTTAAACTGGGTAACAGAGGATATAATAATTATGAAATGGCTGTTCCTTGTTTTTTGTTCAGCGTTCCTAATTTTATTTAATATTCTTTAAAATCAAGCAACTCTTTTGGAACTCTTTTGTCTTACAGGTACTTTTGTCTTACAGGCATTTTAAAGTCAATGGTCGTTCTTATAATAAACATATCAGCTATGTAAATTGGAAATTTCTGAAGATTTCTATAATTTAATATAAAATGTAAAAATCACAGTAAAATGCAAACTGTATCTGATTGTAAAGAAACTTAGCTAATACGACTATTTTTCTCTTTTTTGCAGAATATGGTTCCTAGTTTTTTCTCTTACGATAGCTATAAATTGTACTGTCACCGTCTTTTTCGCTGCTGCTTGCATTTGGCAAGATGGCTGGCAATATACTTACGTCATTGGATTACTAGAAGCTATTATCTTTTGTGGCATCGGATGGGTTCTGTCAGGAAGTACTGTAAGTATATAATAGATAATCACATTCTTACTTCCAAAAATCTGCAAAAAGAACTATGCATTAATTTAAAATTTTAAAATGTATTTGAGTAAACAAACTTTTGTTGTCGCAAGTGAGTGATCAGAAATTCGAATTCGAAATCGATAAAGAAACTCTGTCTGTTTTTTTTTTCGGCATATGCTGATGAAATTATCGAGAAATACAAGCGATGATGAACTCGAAAAAATAAGTAAAAAAAATTAATATGGATGCAGTAATATACCGAATCTTGAAATATGTACATGTAAATGAAATAATTGTGACCTGATTGTGATTAAAATTGTCATAATACAATAAGTTATGTCAGCATATAGGATAGGATTCTAGTTCAGAGGGACATTATTTTTCGCCTTGCATAGCCCTTTAATTACAACAGCATTAAGAAAATGGCTATAGCCTGTATTTCAGTATTATTTCGGCAAATTTAAGAAACTAATGCTAAGTGTGCCTGAAATCTAAATGTGTGGAACTTCATACAGCATGAAAGAGGTCGACCTGGGAAAGAAATATTCATTCTGTAAATTTCGCTTATTGATTAAGCTTACTGATATTCAGAAATTCAGATAATCCTTTTATTATACATTATTCATTTAAAAATTTTGTAATGCTAACCCCACAGAAAGCATTTTAGACTGTTTAATATTCCCATATTTGAAATTACTATACATCTGTAAGCCACTGAAACTCACAAATTTTTAAGGTTTTTGTCAGAGAAGTTAAAGTGAAAGTAAATCTTTTCTGCTTAAGGAAAATCTTTACATATCAAATGACCCGTGTCCAGCATTCGAAGAATAAGTACATTAAAGCTTAATAATAAGATTTCGGATGTTATTTCCAATGGTAAATGAACCGGAAACACAATTTGCTATTGGAAATTTTAGAGCTTCTTTGAGGAAGTCTCAAGTAAACTACATTTGAAGAATTTTAAAATAAGTCTTTGTTTTTGAAGAAATACTCGCAATCTAGGACTAGAGTAAACAATTCTCAGAAAACTATTTCCAAAACACTCGTCGATTTCCGAAATGGGCTTTGCCTACAGAAAAATATTTTTAAAAGAATTATGCTGTTTAAAAATCGGTTAAGAAACCATATGAACTAACAAGGTGAAGTTATTAAGATTTCTTAGATAACCATTATGAAGTTGATTTTGATCAGTTATGAAATTTTCCCACTAAAAGTCTTCCAAAAATATTAAATTAGGATATAAAAATTATATTTTTAATCATTAGTTATTATGCAGGATTATAATGCTGTAGAAGCTTAAATCAATGTCCTTCAGGTTCTACTAGACTGACAAATGAGTTATCACTCTAGTCTGAATCAAAATGACAGAGTCCTGCAAAGGTTAAAATAGCCATTTTTATTAACATTATTTTTATTATCAAAGGTTAAAATAGCCATTTTTACTAACTTAATTAAATTTAACAGAAGGTACCATGTGTGCTTACGAAACCAAACTCTGCCTCTTGTGGGTGTTTAAAATAATACTTAGCTTTAAATAACAGTTTAATATTTTTGGATAGCTTTTAAATTCAAGTAACGTAGTCAGAGACTACATAAAGAGGTCTACTTAAGCTGGCTCAAGTATTTTAACGGCGCTTTTTAAACGTCAGCTAGCAAAATGGCTAAAGCAGGAATAATCTTTTGCAGAGCTGGTGGTAGGGCGTAAACTGCAGGTAAGAAGGTGCTTACTGACAGATATCAGGCGTTTTGTAGTGTTTATCAAAGCAAAAAAATGTCTTTTCACTTAAAACAACGTGAATCTTAGATTTTCACTTAGAATCAACGTGAACAACAATCCAGAACGTGAAGAATCTTACGGCACCCCAACAGCTTTTTTACGCAATCCGTTGGAAATCTGTACACACGTAATTTCCAGTTTTAACATAATTAGAGGTATACAACAATGCCACACTTATTCCTGTAACTGTTGCTCTGTCTTTTTGGAACCATGTGTTGCCAGTTTGTTGTGGAAAACTACAGTTCACACGCAACGAAAATTTTTTACATCTGAACATATCAAACAGAAATGTGCCCACCGTAATCTTAAAAAAGTGGAGCCTATAATATTACTCAATGACACTTTGCTAATCGTGTATTACTCATGTGTTAATTGCATGTGCTGATGTAACAAGACCTTATTGTCCGTTATTGACCTGATGCCAAAACGCTGCCATTCTTGTAATGTGCTTTCATCTCAAAGTTACGCTGTACATCACTCCATTTTTCCGTGATCGTTAAATGGCAAGATGCTGTGAGCAGCACTCTCTATGCCATTCAGTATTACTAGCATCCCAAGGTTGCCCAGATATGATTAAAAATTCCCCTTTCTTTTGAGTCATCCTATCACAAAATAGGAAGATTAACTTACATATTTTATGTATTTGCTATTTCAGGTCCTCTACGCTGCCTACAACCTCACCATGAACGAGGCGTTTAATTACCATCGTTATCGTTATTTAAAAGATGGCGACGGTCATTACCACAATCCATTCAACAGAGGAGTTGTAGAAAATATCAAGGAGTTTTTCCACTGTACTCGAGTGTGGGATGTCCACGATATAGTGAAACTAGAAGAAACTGTATGATTTATATTTTCTGATGTTTTAGTTTGGTTTTATGCGAATGTTCTGTTGTAAATAGAGAAAGTTTTTTTTTAGGGATTTAGCTCTTAATGCAGCGAACTCTCTTCCGATACAGTTTTCAATGATATGCATGAAAATAATATCAAGAGGGTATTAAATACATTATGTGATTTGTACTAAGAATGTACAACTTGCGTGGGGAAAAGAATCTTTATTTAAATGCTATCTTTTCTACCTTTTCCCTAAACGCTTCGTAAGGTCTAATAACATTTTAAAGGTAACAAAATTAAGATTATCCCTTTTATACCTTTTTTTCTGATTTTTATTAAATATTGTTAAGAATAATAAAGATATTGACGCTGCAAGTTATCTGCAGTTAGTAGCAACTGCATTTCTTAGACGTTTTACTGTACTTCTGCAAAACATTAAGCATTTTTGTTGGAAAGCACTTCACAGACATAAGAACAGAAATTAAAATGCATATAAACATTTTATTAGTCCTGTTTACCAAATAATTAACATCTGTGGCGCAGTCTGTAATTAAAAAGCACGTTAATGTTTCTCTAGTACCATATACTCGTATATTTCCATACACTGATTTAACTTTCAGATCATTCTTCAGTAAAATGCAGTGATTGCTAGTAGATTTAAGTGTCACCTCAAAATCTTAAAACTTGTCTAGTGCTATACATTGAAAGAAGATAAGGCTCTTGAAACATAAGATACACAAGATACTCGAGCCAAGATCTCTGATCCAACAGATATGTAAGGTCTCCGTTAAACGGAAAACTTGGAAAAGTAAAATATAGAAGAAAAATATTACAAGGCAGGAATTTAATGTGTCTAAAACTTTAAAATTATTTTTTTATAATTAGAGATACTAAATTTTCTGAGAATTTTTAAATAATCGTTTTCTTCGAGTTAGCTGTACGTCATAATAGCTGTAAAAATCCAAGAAGTTTATGAATACTAAAATGTAGTTATTTTTTCTAAATGTAAACTAGGTTTAAGTCATAAAGTTTAGACAAATAGTTTAATAACACTTTTAATCCCTTTGTAAGACTTCCACTGTGTAAATCTCAGTTACTGTAGAAAGTGACGAACTAGATAAGAACTAGATAGCGAATAATCGCTTAAGCTCGTGTGATAAGAAACAACAAGATAGATGGGTAACTAACCCTTTATTATTCCAATAAGATTTAACAAAACTCCGCCTGGGAGTGTACAATCAAAGCCGACGACTCTTGGGCTTGAACTTAAGAGACTAAGAATTAAACTAAAACTAAGATTAACTAAAGAAATATAGCCGAAGCTATCAAGATTCAAATCGAGTTGGCCCTTTAACTTATTTGACTACGACGCTTAGCAAGGGCCTGAGTACGGCCGACCGTAATAATAGCTTTGAGAGAGAGAGTGGCTAAAAAGGTAGACGCGCGTAAATCAGAAACTCTGATTCTCTCTGACTCTGTAAGTAACTTCGTGGTTTAAATACCGCTCCTACTCATTAAATATTCAGCAAGATTCCAAAACTACGTTCTGGCCGGAAGTAGTAAGTTGAAGTTAAGAATTTGACAGGAAAGGAACTTTAACTTAAAATTTAACTGTTAATAAAATTAACATAATCCTTACACCTTATAAATCCAGTCATTAAGTGCTGTATCTAATGAGTGCAAAAATGCATTCATAACGTAGCTTTTCTTTATAAGAACATTTTATTTGCTAATATTACAGAGATTAGTATGGGTATTGTATTACATTCAACAACAAAGCACGAACTATTTCGCTACAAGAAATTAGTCGAGCTTTCAAAGACATCACTGTTATTTTCAACGCTAATTGCTTTTGACATAGGATTATCAGTATCAAGCTTATAAATCCACTGTTTATTGTTTATTTAGTATCGTCTTATATTTAATCCTGTTCTTAAAATTTTTATTTTGTTAATTCTGTCGGTAAAACTTTAAAGAACACACTTCTTCAAAGAATAAAATATGTGGTTAGTACCATGTCGTAAAAGATAAATGCTGTAATGTGAAGAAGCCGCTCAAATAACTTGATGTTTTATGGAGCTTGTAGTAAGGATCAATATCCTTCAAGTTTAGTCAATAATTAAACCAAGAAGGGCAAAGAAGATATACCGTTGGAATAATTATAATTATTTCGAATAAAATTTGGCATTGATAAGACTAATCTTTGGAACCCAAATTTGGAAAATATGCCTGGTTACTTTAGTTTTTGAAAGATTTATAAAATGAAATATTTAAAGTTTCAGAAATATAATCTGTACTTATCTTTTTAAAAAAAACGGTGCTGTTTCTTATTTAAAATTACCATTTAAATAAACTTGCGTGCATCATATGTAGCAGAATTCTGCCTTCTGAATTTAAAGGCTTGATATTAATTGTTTACATAAAACATACGGAGATTAATACTTGAAATTCTTTAATTCGTCTCTTATCACACAATACGTTTCTTTCAAAAGTGGCGTTTATAAGTTTGTCACAGAAAATGAAAATGTGCCAACAATCTGAGTTAAAATTACACACCGAATAACGATTATTCGAGGTGTTAAAATAACAATAACTCCTGGGGTACTAGTAGGTAAGGATGGATGCTTAGGATATATATAAAATACAAAATCTAGCTTTCAAATAATAAATTAATAGTCCTTTAACTCCTGTCTTCATTCTAAATAAATTTTCTAAACGGAAAAGATCCGTCATTTAATCTGTATTGCGCACTAATTGATGAAGTCTGACCCCCAACACCTCTACGTTAAACTACCATGTGATCTGAAAATGGAATTCAGTATAAAATGGTCAACCAGCGTCGCAACTTTCTCTCTTCTGTCTTCCCTTTTGCTTCCAGATGTTTGTGTCGCCTTGCCGCAGAGTTTACTTTTTTAATTTTCGTTCTTTATGAAGATGTACTGTATAAAATTGGGAGGTGCATAGCGCACCCACAGTGATAATGTGCATTATGAAATGGCGCAGTCGACAGGATCATTTCATAATGCATAGATTGTTGCGACGCAGTTAACCTTTTTATACCGAATTCCATTTCAGAACATATGGCAGTTTAATGTGGATGTGTTGGGTTCAAACTTCATCGATTAGTGCGCAATACAGATTAAATGACGGATCTTTTTCGTTTAGTAAATTTAATGCTCTGTTATTTTTAGAATGAAGATGGGAATTAAAGAGCTATTCATTTATTATTGGAAAGCTAGATTTTATATTTTACATATATATATGACTCCTTGCCAGTGTGGTTTAATTGACATTGTGCAAACTAGGACAGCCTTAAAATTTCGAGTTAGGGAACATGAAACATGAGTTAGGAAAAAAGAGAAACATGTAAACCATCTGCTGCCCAATACTGTTGGTCGAAAAATTACATTTTCCATTTTTCGGCAGCTAAAATTATTGAAAAAATTCTTTCGTTAGGGAATTAAATTTTCTAGAGCTCTTTTACATTCATAAAAATCTTTCAGTTCTAGTTAACGATCTAAATTCCAGTCCGTCTTTACCCTCAACATTTATGAAAATTATTCCTTAGTTGTTTTCATCTATCATCAATAAGATGGCGCCAGTAGCTCAGCTTCCTTCATTATTGTTATCTCCTCAGCACAGGCTTCTCTTTCGTCATTTGCACTTCTGCAGCTGAAGATGAAGGTTTAAACCTTCGAAATTAGCCTTGCAATCTTACAAATATTACGCGGATTCTTGTTGCCTTAACGTCTCCAATAATTGTTCCAACAATTACTGAAAAAAATAATTTAGTCAGATAATTTTATTTTTGTTTGTTTGTTGACATTTTGTACATAGTTAGATCGTAAGACCAGTCAAATTCTCTATTTGCCCAATTTATCAAATTCTGCGGCCAAACTTCCTTGAAAACACAACCTAAAAAATATCGGTAGTGTTTAGAATCTTTATTGCGGTAACTGTACCCAACCTGAACGCTCGTTATTGTAGCATTGGACAAGGGTTCGCTGCATTTAGGTTACCTTTTCATTGAAAAATTAAATCCTTAAGAAATAATCTCATAATTCTTTGCATAATTGTAGTGTTTCTGCCATTGTGTATCGGAAGAAACATGAAATGATCAAAATACTCATCAAATATGCTCATAAATGGGACCACACCTCCTGTATCATGTTTTGCTAGATACTTTAGTGTATATTTGGGTGTGCCGAAAACGTGGGGATCCGTATATCAACATTTCATATATTAATTTTAAATCTATTTAAAATAAAAAAAACATGCTATAATTAGTTGCACTGAAATCATGTAAAAAGAACGCATTTTAGAAATTTAAACTTATTCTTCAATTTAACTCAGGAAATGATGTTGACTTTGCGCATTAAAGTTCGCAACCAACGTCTGTGTCTGTCAAGTTTTAGTAATATTATATAAATGTAGCTAATATTATAACGGAGAGATCTGGTTTATTTGTTTTCTGCCGCATGTTCTTAATTTCTTCGTTTCAGAGATATTTATTTCAATTTTTTTTCTCTCGCTTAAACTGCAGTTTTGATGTAAATAGTATGCATTGAATATTTTTATTCCTTGTAGTAAATGTAGCTAGAACATACATAAATATTTTTTTTCCTACAACCGTTCTTCTCTAGCATGAAAAAGTGTAAGAAAGGCATTTCTTATCTCTAACTGCTGCAAATTATTTTCCGTATTCTTAAATAAAAAAAATTGAAAAGATGTCTTTTTATTGAAAAACATAGATCTTTTATAAAGAGATACTTCTTTAAATTGTGTTAATTTGGCATATTGTTTTATTTAATTTAAAGCAAGCCCAATCTGTTGTTATAAATATTGTATTTAATTTTAAAAACTGAGAAACTGTTATGATATGAATCTGAAATGTAAAAGTATAATTATGTCCCTCGCGTATGTTAAAAACTGAACTCGTGGCTGCCGATATATTCACTTCTTTCGAAAAATTATCGCCATATTTTAATATGATGATTAGTATATGCGGGTCCCCACAATTATTTGTTACAAAGTTTCATGCTGAAAAGTTCTCGCGCAAGTACTAATTCGTTTGATTTGTTATAACTCTATAAATTCGCTGCTAGATTGGTAGTTACTTTATACCTCTTTCAACGTATTTAGGTAAAAAGAAAAAATGATACGCAGCTTAGTCCATGCAAATGGAAAAGAACACTTAAAGGGTTGAGAAGACTTCCGCCATGCTTTCATCATGTGCAAATCTTATGCTTGAATACATATCTAACTGCTCTAGAATGCAGCAAGTTTCATATCTCTAAGTTCTTGATTATGGCTTTTAAATGAAACTTCCAAGTTATAATTTGAATGTAAAACTTCCTGAAATGAAAATATTTAATTTCACGAATATCTTTATTAATTCATAAATTTACTACCTCACACAGTTTGCCAAATAAATAATTAATTGTAGCTTAACGTCTAAATATGTTCGTTGATATTTACTTTATGGTACTTCTTTAAATTGTATTTTAGATGTTCTTTTATATATATTTAAATGATAAAGCATATTACTGTAAAACCTTACCTATATGTAACATCGCTTTTGTATAAATTTATTTTATCTCGTGTTGTGTGTGTACGTTTATATTTATATACATATATATATATATATACATGTGTGTATATTTACTACCTCAGAAAACAAAGGCTAAATAATGTTTATTTGTGTTTATTTTATAAATGACTTTTATACTTCTGTGGCAACTTTTTCAAAATATGTGCACGATACCATAGTATGCATAACATTCGCAATAACATTGTTGTAATTAAACTAGTATTTGCTTCCTTTATAATTTTCGTATTTTTCAATAATATTTCGCAGAGGCTGACATCGTTTATCCATTATTAATGAAAGTAATGTATTTGTTTGAATGCTGCATTTGTTAAAAAAAAGGTATTTTTATACAATGTTACGGGGGAAAAGT